CATCTGAGATGTTGCTGGATCATTCCTGAGTCTATTAACTATTTTCTGTTTTAATCATACACCTGTATTTTCTTGCTTCCTTACATGTCTTTTTATTTTTGGTTGAATACTGAACAGTGCAGATAAAATCAGACTAGAGTCTGAGGTAAATAATACATATGTTCAGAAATGTCAAGCTATTAAAAAAGGACAGGAGAGCTAAAATAATATAGTCTGTAGCTGAGCTGTTTCTGGGCTTTATTGTTACCTTGGTTTGATTTGGTTCACCATCAGTTTCAAATGATTTGAGGGCAAGATTTGGGATTTGGGTGCCTGGAGAAATTCTCTCGGTTCTGTTTTGCTCTCAGGATTCAGTAAACCTATACTATGGCATTTTAAGAAAAGCTCTCTCAACTTTTCACTCTGCCCAGCCTCAGGTGGATACAGTCTTATAATCAGAGAGGACATGAAATGCTCAGAGGGTTTGTCTCAGTTTTCCTGGCCTGGCCTCAGACTTTGAGTAACTGCATGCCTACACCTCAAGGTGTTTTCTCAGTTCTCCTGTCCTGCCTCCGAAGGAGTGCTTATTGAAAGCCAGTTGAAAAGCACTGGCTGGTATTTGTAAACTCTCTTTGTGCCTGGGGTCCCTAGATACTCTGTATTGTCTTGCCAGACTTAGAAGTAACCTGTAATAATGTGCATATGTTCAGTTGTTTCCTCCTACTTATCTGCAGTGGTATTCTCCTCTACCCAGTCCTTCACCTAGGGTGAATGAAACACAGTTCTGGAGCTGGGATTCCAAGGTGAGATGACAGCCAGGTTGGTGGGGGGGCTCTTTTCCTGGCTTGTAGATGGCCACCCTTCACCTTCACATTGTGGAGAGAAAGGGAGCAGGAAGGAGAATGGAAGGTTGGAAGGGAGGAAGAAACAAGGGGGAAAGGCCTCTCCAGTATCTCTTTTTCTAAGGCACCAGTCCCATCTTGAAGGCCCTCACCTTCATGACCTCATCTAAACTTAATCATCTTCCAAAGGCCCCTTCTTCACATCCCATTACATGAAGAGTTTGTAGCTCCAGCATATGAATTTTGGAGAGTGTATACAGTTCAGCCCTAGCACACACTATGCATGATATTAATAGCAGGAAAATTGGGAGGGGGAATGAATAGGTGTATGGAAACTTAAGAACTTTCCGGACAGTTTTTCTATAAACCTAAAATTACTTTAATAGAATAAAATCTATCAATGCTAATAATAAAGGTAAGATGAAATTGCAGAGTTAAATTTGAGAGAGATTTAAAAATAGATGAAACTTGTCTACTGATGTAATAGAGTGCTTAATGTGACAACAAACTATTTCAAATCCACCTTCACTATGACCCCATTGGGTTTTTCTTTTCCTTTCTTTGAACCCTTCTATTTTACTTAACATCAATATTTTTGTTACCTCCATGTTTCTTCTTTTTCTCCTCCATTCTTCATATCCAACCTTTTTTTTCCTCTTTGGACCCTAGTAAAGCACAATGTGGTATTATTTGCTGATATTTAAAGCAAAATACTATGCTTTTTGTTCTTTCTTTGAGAAGTACCTAAACATTAATTTTTTCCCTTACAGTTTTGTTTTTAAAAGACAAAAACAAAATATAGTAGTCTCCATTTATCCAGTTTCACTTTCTGAGGTTTCAGTTACCTACAGTCAATTAAGGCCCAAAAATATTAAATGAAAAATTCCAGAAATAAACATTGTGCACTGTTCTGAGTAGCATGATAAAAATCTAACACTAACCTCCTCCATCCCAGGCAAGATGTGAATCATCTCTTTATTCTGCATATTCACATTGTATATGCTGCCCACCCTAAAGTCACTTAGGAACCATCCCAGTTATCAGATTGACTGTTGGGTTATCATGGTGCTTGTGTTTGAACAATCTTTATCTTATTTAATAATGGTCTCAAAGCAGAAGAAATAGTGATGCTGGCATATTGTTCTAAATTGCTCTGTTTTATAACTCCTATCTCTTATTGTGCCTAGTTTATAAATTAAAATTTATCATGTATATATATGAGATATATCAGATATATATGTATGGAAAAAAATAGCATATACGTTCTTTAGAACATACCACAGATGTCAATGAAGAATGACTATATATATATATATTATAAAATGTCATAATATTTGCAGAAAACCTATGCACACCCTCCTATATAATTTAAATTATCTCTAGCTTTCTTGTAATCGCCAGTGCAATGTAAAAACTGTTATAAGTAGTTGTTATTCTGTATTGTTAAGGGAATAATGATGGGGGGAAAGTCTGAACAAGTGCAGAACACAGACATTGTAGGTCTACCTGCATAGTACAAATAAGACTCGAAGTGACCAATTTTCACACAAGAGCTGGAGACTGAAGATGTATAAAACGTCAGGAAGCTATACCAGGATATGCCTGTGGATTCAGTGTCGTGGTTCAAGCATAGCAAATTGAAGTTTTGCCTTTTGCAAATTTCTGGATTGTTTTTCAAGTTTTTTAAAAAAATTCTTTTATTGGTACATTTTAGGTATACAATACATTTACATTTCTCATTGGGAACTTGTACCTTTACATGATGTATCTTGGTTCTTATTTTTTCCCCATTCCTAGCCCTCCCTTCACCCCCTCCACCCTTCCCTTGTTTCCATTTTTTCCATTCCTCATAATTTTACTTTCCCTTCTTCTTTTCCCCTGCCTCTCCCACTTCCCCCTACCCCTTTGGACCTTTTCTTCCTATTTCGCATTATCAATTATTCATTCTAATCATTGGTACATTTTAGGTATACAATATAATGGCATTCGCCATTGGAAATTTGTACCTTTACATAATCTCTCTTGGTTCTTAATTTTCCCCCTTCCCCTGCCCTCCCTTCAACCCCTCCATCCCTTCCTATTTACAAAGACTTTGTTTCCATTTTTCAATTTTCTCATATTAATTCCATTCCCTTTCCTTTCCCCTACCCCTCCCACTTCCCCTTCCCCTTTGCCCCTTTTCTTCTTCCTATTTCACATTATCTATTATATCTTTTAGTCCTTATTTACACTTTCAGTTTCTCACACTAGAGAAACTATTCGGTATTTATATATGTGTGTCCTTTTTATTTCACTTAAGAGTATCGCCTCAATGTGCATCCGTTTAGCTAAAAATGTCTCTAATTTCTCATTTTTTATGGCTGAATAGTACTCCATTTTATTTAAAAAACACACATTTTCTTTATCTAGTCTCCGGTTGCTGGGCATTAGGGCTGTTTCCAAATTTTAGCTATTACAAATTGTGCTGCTATGAACATGGGTGCACATGTATCACTGTGGTATGATTCTTTTAATTCTTTGGGGAAGATACCTTTTCAAGTTATTTTGAACCCATGGTTGGTTGAATCTTCGGATGCAGAACCCACAAATAAGGAAAGCTAACTATATAAGGTTCAGTGCTACTAGAGGTTTTGGGCATCATACACTAGGCATCTTGGAATGTATCCCCTATGGATAAAGGCAGATTGGTTATTTGACAGTGTGTTTTAATGATGTCAGCACATAAAATGTTTCTGTATGTCTTATATTAAAGAATCATAAATTAGATTTTTGTGTGTATTTAAGTATTGAAAATTTCTTTTGGGTTTAACAAATTCTGAAATGAGTTATTTTGTGTTAATTGGAGTAAAATTCATATAACAGAATTAACCATGCTAAAGTGAACAGTTCAGTACATTCACAGTGTTATGCAAACCATCATTTCTGTGTAGTTCCAAAACATTTTCATCACCCCACAAGGGAAACTGTATCCAGTAAGCAGTCACTCCCATCTCCCTCTTCCCCCTTCCCTAGCAACTCCTGTTCTGCTTAGTGTCTCTATGGATTTGCATGTTCTGGATATTTAATATAAATAGAATGATAGAATATATGAGCTTTAATATGTAATTTGTGTGGATATACCACATTTTTTATACATTTGTGAGTGTATAAACATGAGTGTTGTTTCTGTTTTTGTAAGTAGAGATGATGAGAGTGAGTAGTGATTCTATGATCATTCAAAAGTTCTTGTTTGCACACCTGTTTTTAGTTCCTTTGGGTGTACACCTAGGAATATATTGCTGGATCTTATGGAAATTCTTTTCAACTTTTTCAGCGCTCCCTAAATTTTCTACTGCAGCTGTACCATTTCATATCCCCACCAGCAATGTATGAAAGTTTGTTTCTCTGAATCTTTCCCAACACTTTTTATTTTCCTCTTTAAAAAAAAATAGCCATTTTAGTTTCTCATTGTAGTAAGATAAGTTTTGGGTTTGTTTGTTTATTTTTTGGGTTTTGAGGCAGGGTCTCACTGTGTTGTTTAGGCTGGCCTTGAACTCATATGGAGCCCAGGCCAGCCTGAACTCACAAAGATCCTCCTGCCTCAGCCTCCTGAGTGCTGCTATTAACAGGCGTGCACCACCACACCCAGCAAGATAAATTTTTATATGTAGTCTTTCTGCCTGTACCTTACTATATATGTTAAAAGTAGGTACAAGTATCCATATCTTAAAATCTATTCATGACTAATAAGTGTTCTGCAAACTAAAAGTATTTCAGTGCTTCAACAAATTGTTCCTTATTTTTTTTTGGTACTGATGATCGAACTCAGGACCTTGCACTTTGCGAGGCTGGCGCAGTGCCACTGAGCTACATTTCTGGCCCTAAAGACTCTGCTCTTAAACAGTATACCACCATGTCTATACTATTCCATGATACAGATGATATTTCAAGAATTAGGACCAAACCTAACAGGTGTTTTTGTGTTTCAAGTCTATATAAGATAATCTGTATGATTAAAGTATATGTAGTTTATAATTATTGCAAGTTTATTAATTTTTTCTTTCCTTTCATGCAGAAATATTACTGATTTGACCATATATTGATACAGCCTTTCTAAAAGGCAATCTCTGTATTTAACAAAATACTTCTTAACAAAATACTTTAAAAAATGACAGTGTTTCAAAATTTGTTTTCTTTTAGGTCCACCTCATTCATTTAACCGAGATGAGACTATAATCATTGCTTTGGCATCAGTCTCTGTATTAGCTGTTTTGATCGTTGCCTTATGCTTTGGATACCGAATGGTGGCAGGTAAAATTTTTTTAAAATACCACTCATGGTCCTGTAACTTACAAAACATGCTGTTGAATCAGAATTTATTTTCTTTTTATAATCTCTATGCTAAGTGCTAAAAAACACCAAAATGAAATATCTCTGGGTTATACTAGCTTCCATTCTTACCTTCAGCAAAATTTTCCCCCTCGGTTCTTGGAAAAAGTTTCAAATTTACATAAAATACATGTTATGAAGCTTCAGGAGCTATCACATACAGACAGGCAATACTGTTTCATCTAAATCCCCACTCACTAACCTCTTCTAGGCCTCTGTGTTTTTGGTTTTTTTTTTCTTTTAGGTACCGGGGATTGAACTCGGGTCCTTGTGCTTGTGAGGCAGGTGGCGGAACCACTGAGCTAAATCCCCGGCCTGCCTCTGTATCTGTATTATTTTGAAGCAAGTCACAGTACCACTAATAAACTTTAGGCTTAGTGGGTTGTTGAGGAAATCAGTACCCATTCATTCATTTGAATAACTTCTAATAAAATCTTCTTAAAAGTTTTTGCATTGGGGCTGAGGATTTAGCTCAGTGGTTCCGCCGCCTGCCTTGCAAGCAGAAGGACCCAAGTTCGATCCCCAGTACCAAAAAAAAAAAAAAAAGTTTTTGCATTATTTCTTATGGTTTTAAACTAAGTCACAGTGAAAGTATCTCCAGAATTCAGCTCTCATGCCATTCGCTATTCGTCTTCAAAGATGATTACTAGTTTAGTAAATAGTTTTATCCCTTCAGCAGTTCTTTCTAACTGTAATATAATTTAAAAATGTAATCAAGATCATCATTTTAAGAAAGTCACACATTAGTAAATTCTTTTCTTTTCACACATTAGTAAATTCTTTTCTTTTTCCTGTAGGAGATCGTAAACAAGGTCTGCACAGTATAAATATGATGGAAGCAGCAGCATCAGAGCCCTCTCTTGACTTAGATAATCTGAAACTGTTGGAGGTAAGGTTGTTCTTAGGTTGTGGACTATTATCATTCTTACCAAGTTTCCTGAGTTTCATTTGATAACATTTCTTAAGCTATTTAAAAAGTCTTACTGTGATGTGTTTTTATGATCTTTATTAGGAATGTCTTGATCACTGTGATCCCTAAACTAGAAACTATTAAATAGTAGACATGATAGATTTTACTACATAAAACACTTTAAGAACTTTCAGTTAGGGGAAAAAAATATAAGGAACAAATTTAAAAGTCAAATTTGAAAAATAAATATTTCAATATATAGGAAAGAATTGATAAACAGCTTTTATAACTCAACATGTCAACAGTTCATAAAGAGGGACAAAAGAGATGAATGGCCAATTCATAAATGAGGTGTGGCTAATAAAACGTATAATAAGATGTCTAGCTTACTAGATTGAAAGAAATACCAATTAAAACATGGATTTTATATAGGATTGAGTGAAATATTTCCAAAACATTGCTGATTTCTGTGTGTGTGTGTGTTACTGTGGATTGAACTGAATCCAGGGCTTTTTCACTGAGCTACATCCCTAGCCTTTTTTTATTTTTTATTTTGAGACAAGCTCTTGATAACTCATTTAAGTTGCCTGTGCTGGGCTTCAAGTTGTGATTCTCTTGCCTCAGCCTCCTGGACCGCTGCGATTACAACTGTGTCCCACCACACCTGGCTTGATAAAACCTTTTCAAAGAACAGTCTATGTTAAATTTTAATCCAGAAGTAATGATCATTTTAAAAAACTTTAAATAAATGATGGTAAATCTCCAGTCTGTTTGAGTAAAAAGGGGGAAAATCCTCAGAAGACAAAAATGAAGAGAATAGGTTATATTTTGCTGGTATTTTGTGTACTGAGTTATTTTTTAATTGTATCCCAGATGATGTGAATGTTACATTGTGTCGCCCTAGACTCTGTTCTGGTTTTGTTTGTTTTTAGAAAACAGGTAATGTGGTTGGCTACATACTGCCAACTTGTCTCTTGCAAGTCTTAGTTCAGTTATTTTAACATTAGAGCTAGAAGACTGTTCCATGCCTTCATTGGGTTTTCTCCTCTCTAGCTGTCTCCTTTTCAGAATTCTCTCACTTTCCAGCAGTTCTTGTTGCCTATTACATCCTCTGATTTCTAGAGCAGAAAAATTATAGATTATCACCTTTTAGTGCCATTGCACAGCACTAATTTCAGCCTGCTCTAAAGCTAAAAACCATAAAAATAAGTAGCTCACCCCATGTCATTCTTTTCTTCTAAGAATTGCCTCCTAGGGCTATGTTTGATACTATCGTTATTGCTGATTGTACTCCTTTAGCAAAGGTGATGTAACTGTGCTAATCAGTTCTTCATATATACCAAGACTGAGATTGCCTCCAGGGCTGGGCCAAGTAGGTAGCAACTTCTCATCCCCAATAAATTGAAGAGGTAGGATCTTACAACAGACTCAAAATCCAAAGTCAGCTACACCTGGAAGACATCTCTGAAAAGTAGTCATTTCCTAAAGGTTCTAAGTACTAGCAATAAAGCTAGTTGCCATAGACAATTTACAACCATCAACCCACGAATTAAACTACAAAAGAAAAAAGAGAGAAGAGAGAAAATAAGACACAGAAGAAAGACAACCTCAGACTTTCAGTTCACCAAAAGCAAACCCAGGGAACAATGAAGTAGAACAATCCGAAGCCCACCCACCTGGACTCGCTGAAATGGTAGCAGGAGAAATAGCAAAGAAGATGAAGAAGGCTTTAGGAAAAAATCAAATCAGAGATAGTTTCTGAGATAACTACAGAAGTAGTGACCATAGTGAAAGACATGCTTAGTGACTCTAGAGCAGATACAAATAAAAAAAAATGAAGGAGCTTAGGAAAATGATGGAAACCATGAATGCCCAGCATAGGAAAGCAATGGAATCCATGAAACAGATTCAAACATATCCAAGAGGGCTGAGGATTTAGCTCAGTGGCACTGCACCTGCCTCGCAAGCTCAAGGTCCTGATTTCAATCCCCACTACAAAGAAAAAAAACCCAGATATCCAGGAGATTAAAATTTCCACAAAAAGTATACACAACAGAATGAACCAGTGTGAGGACAGAATATCAGATATAGAAGATAGGATTGCGGTTCGTGATAATGAAAAGAAAGATTTTTTTTTTTTAATTGCGTGGTTCTGTTTATTTAAACTGTTTAGATTTGGCAATTTCACAGAACCTGAAATCATTGCCAGAGGATGAAAAATTTTAAATGCTATCATGAACATCACAATATAAAAATCTAGAGTTATGTTTCACTAGACACAGTTTTGAAATATAACAAACTACAATCATCTTTGAAGAGTCTTTTTAAGATACATCCAGTAAAAAATTGTGCATTGTAGGAAAACTTTTCACAAACACATACAATTGAAACTTCCCTTCTGAAATAAATGTTTGTATTTCTTTGAAAAATGTAATTACAATTTTATATTTTCCAAAGTTATTAATAAAATTATACTTAGGAAAGGTACTGCTAACTCATAGCATTAAATGAAAATGCTTCACCTTCTTTGTAAAAATGATTCAGAGAACCATAAGAATGTTGCATGAAACTTTTTCTTTTGGAAACTCCCTACATTGTGAAACTATCATTCTATATTCTATTATTAAGATATTCATATATATATATATATATATTCAAGTTCAAAGATTGAAACATAATATGCAGAAAGTAAAATTCACTGACAAATTTGAAAGCATTTTTATATATTTACTATTGTAACAAAATTTTTAGATTCAATTTCATATTAGGCATTTTGTGACTAATAAAAAGTATGTGACATGAAATGTCAAAGTAGTGCTTATAAAATATGTGATAAAATATTTATCTCTTAATATTACATGAAGCTACATTTTAGCAAATTGTGAAACTAGGGCAGAGTTAAACAATATTCAGAGACTCTTTTTCAACTTCTATTTCAGCTTCATTTCCAACTTCAGCTTTGTTTACATCTTCTTTATCTCTCACATCTTTGTCATCTCTTCTTCCATGTTTTTTTACATTTTCTTTGTCTTTTCCTTCTTCCTCTTTTCCATCTTTTTCTTTTTCCTTTCCATCATCTTCTGCATTTCCACCTTCATCTTCCTGTCCATATCTCTTTTTTTCATTTTTCTTTATCTTTTCTATCCTTGTTTTTTCCATCTTCCTTCTCTTTCCCACCTCCTTTCCCTTTCTCATCTTCTTTTTCATCACCTTTTTCTTTTCTGTGTTTTTCCTCTTTTTCATCCCCTTTCCTTTCTCCATCTTCATCCTCTTGATCTCTTTTTTCATTTTGATAATCTTCCCTTTGTCCATCTTCTCCTTTCTTGTTTCTTGGTCCTCTTTTCCCCTTGACCTTTTCATCTTCTTCTTTCTTTCCTTTACTTTGATCTTCCTTGTTTTTCTGATCTTTTACATCTTGTTTTTCTTCTGCTGTCACTGCTTCTTTCTTTTCTCCTCCTTCTTTTCCAGTGTCATCATTTTTTTCATCTTTTATTTCCTCAATTTCTTTTTTAAGAGCTAGTGCCTTTATAATTTTGTTTTCTCCATTTTCAGCATTTTTATTGTTGCAGACTTCTTTAACAACTTCTTGCTTGATTTCAGCTAGTATTTTCACATTTGCCTCTGTGTTTCTGTCATATTATTTTTGGTCTTCATTATTGGGGATCCAATCCAGACACACGTGTGCTAGGCAAATGCTCTTATCACTGAAATACACTTCCAGGCTTAATTTCTCAGCAGACAGTCTAGCTGATCTTCTCTTTGGCTCTTACCTTATGTCACCTTGACCTGCAGCCTAAGAGGTGCCAGAAATTTTGAAGTGAGGGGTTGCAGAAGAACTGTAGTCCTTGAATAATTCAGAGCAATTCTGTATGTCTAAAGGCAATAAATCTCCTGCTTGTCTCCAAACATCAACAGTAGTTTATAGGATGAGACCCTTATCACCTTTCCACCTTTAGCTAGAGAGCTCCGAGAGAGCCAAGTCTCTCAACCCTAAAGTTTCTATTTACAGAGGCAAATTTTTCCCTTTTCTAGGACAGTTTAAAGTCTGTGCCACAAAATGGCACAATATTACCATTTCATAGGCATCTGGCGTGACAAGAAGAGGAGGGAATAAAGAAAAGGGAGGAAGCAAGGAAGAGACAAAGGAAAGGAGGGAGGAAGAGAGAGAAGAAGAGGGAGGGAGGGGAAAGGAAGGAAGGAAAAGAGGGACGGAGGGAGGGAGGGAAGCCTGGAGAAAGCTATGGCTTTCGGCCCCCTAAAATGAGATGGTGGCCCAAGAAAAGCAGGAGGCAGAGGAGAAACCTGGCTCTGCGGAAAGTGTGGCTGAGAGAAGAGTTCTCCAATAGAGTAAGAGTGAAAGATTTTTTTAAAAATAGCAAGAGTCCATGGAAATCAATCTAGTGGCTACTAGATAATGCAAAGAAGAATAACATAAGATTGATGAGACTCAATGAAAAAGCAAGAGATAGCACAAAACATTAAAAAAAAAAAAACCTGTTCACAGAAATAATGACAGAAAACTTCCCTCACAGGGAAATATAATTTGACATACAGATAAATGAGGCATATAGAACTCCACTTAGCCATGGTCAAAAAGTCTACACCAGGACCGGGGATTTAGCTCAGTGGTTCCACCGCCTGGCTTGCAGGTGCAAGGACCCAAGTTTGATCCCCAGTACCAAATAAAAAATGTACACGAAGAAATATAATAGTCAGAATTTGAAATCCAACACAACAGAATATTAAAAGTTGTTACAGAGAAGACAAATGATATATAAAGGAAAGCCCATCAGAATCATAGCAGACTTCTAAAGATAAACCCTCAAGTCAAGGAGAGCTTGGAGTGGAGTGGAGTGTTTTCCTGAAGGGAAACAACTTCCAACCCAGACTGATGTACCCCTCAACATTATCTTTCAAAACTGATGGAGAAATAAGATACTTCCATGACAATGAACACCTGAGGAAATTCATGAATACCAGCAGAATGAAACCACCAGGCAAGGCAAGAAATTAAATAGAGGAGGAAAAAAGGGAGCCAACAACAGGAAAATAACATGACAAGAATAAGTCAATATATACCAGTCATAATCATCAATGTTAATGGTCTCAATTCACCAATCAAAAGAAACATACTGGCAGAATGGATCAAGAAGCAAGATCCAACAATATGCTGCATACAAGAAACACAATTCAAAAAGAAATTCATAGACTGAACGTCAAAGAATGGAAAACAATATTCCATGCAGCAGGAACCTGGAAAAAAGCAGAGGTAGCTATTCTATTTGCAGACAAGTCTATTTTAAGCCAAGACTGATCAAGAGAGACAAAGAAGGTCACTATATCCTTGTAAAGGGAACAATGCAAGAGGAAGAGATAATAATCATAAATATATACGCATCAAATATCAGCACACCCAGCTATATAAAACAAATATTCGCTGACATGAAAAATCAAATAAGCACTAGTACAGTTGTAAAAGAGGAACTCAATACCCCACTGTCACAAGTAGACAGAACAACTAGACAAAAAACCAACAACGACATATTAGAACTGAACCAAACTTTTGAACAGATGGACTTAGTAGATGTCCACAAGAGTGTTCTACCCCACAACATCAGAGTACACATTCTTCTCAGCTGCGCATGGGACATTCTCCAAAATAGACTGCGTGCTGCGCCAGGGATTTAGCTCAGTGGTGCTATGCCTGCCTTGAAAGTGCAAGGTCCTGAGTTCAATCCCTGGTACCAAAAGCAAAACAAAATAGGGACTGGGGATTTAGCTCAGTGTCACCACACCTGCCTCTAAAGTGCAAGGTCCTGAGTTCAATCTCCAGTCCCCCTGTCCCCCCCCAAAAATAGACTATATGCTGTCTCACACAACATGCTTAAGGAAATGCAAAGAAATTGAAATTAACCCATGAATATTATCAAACCATGGTA